CTCATGTCTGGCAGCAGAGCCTCAAACTGATGGGATGTTATGGAGGTCATCATTGATCTTGCAACAAAGCATATGAAAAGATGGAAGGCATAAGGTGGAAAGGACCTGTAATGGTCTGGCATCCAGGGAAAGTCACAGCACCAGACCCTGATGGGGGAGAGCAGCCTGGTCACCAGCAAGATGCTCACCCAGATTTGCAAACAGGTGTGTAAAATATAAGCATTTAGACAGTTGGTTCCAAATTTTGAACAGGTGCTGGAGAAAGAAGTTACATTTTTCGAGTATCTGGAGCCCAAAAGCACAGAACATTCCTATGCTTCATGTAGAGTCTAGAAATGTAACCTGTTGCATCGGCCAAGGCCAATCACAAGTGTAGCAGTGTTGGTTGGGAGGAATGTGGTCAAATCTGTAAAGTCTGTCTGTTGGCATTTTTATTGTTTTATCATTGTCATGGGCAGTTTGTCATCATGAGGTTTTTTTCCTGAAGCACAGGGCTGTTATGAAATGGTTATGTAATGTCCAAGGGTGGGTATCTGCTGACATTTGAAAACTATGCAGTGAGAAGTATGGTGGTGAAAAATGAGAGGTATGTCTTTAACACGTGTTGACTGTAAGACAGGAGACAGATTGTGGAAAAGTTATTTCAATCTTTCTTAAGAATAGCCTAAATTTTTAAGAAGCCACATCTTAGATGTGCAGAGAATATACTGGGAAACCTGTCTCATGTATGTGCTTCCATTTAAAAAATGAATATTTAGTGTTACCAATTGTTAGCATGCAAAATCAATATAGTGTTACATACGGCTTTCAATTTATTTTCCTTGTGTTTTGTGCCATTTAAAATATGTTTTCTAGACTTAGTGGATAAAAATACTCAAATTTTCTATGAAAGAATGAAATCTTATTCCCAACAAAGTTAAATGCACTTGATTCATTCTTGGAGTAAGGGGAACCCAGTTTGGAAAAGTATTATGCAGTTGTGCTTATATGTACATTAGAATTCAGCTTGTTCAGACTGATTTTCCTCAAAGGAGGAAAATAATACCTTTTTTCCCCAATAATAAAAGAAGTTTATTCAATATTTTTGTAACTTCCTTGCTTAGAAAGTTGATTAGTTGAAAGCATGAAATTACTAATTATTAGATTCCAGCCAGTTATGTTTGCTGTGATGATGTCGTACTCCATCTTACTTACAGAGAAGGAGCTACAAAATAGTCACTTAGTTTTCTTCACACATGGTTGTGGTAAATTAAAAAAATACCTATCTGCCTTCTGATCTTTACTTCTGAACAAGTGTTTGTAGCATTCTAACATAAAATGTGTATTTAAATATGAAATGTCATCCATTGAAAAGCTATGAGAACACATGATGGAGAACTTATGCACTTACTAAAAATTTTTAAAACCCAACATTTTTCGGTTTATGTGAAAAGAGACTTTTTGCTGTCTAAACCAGTACATCATAAAGCTTTTCTTAACAGGAAGTAGAAGAGAGTAGTGGTTAGCAAACGCTGCAGGCAGGAAGCTTGACACATGCACAGCTCTGTGGCGCTGGGCTGTCCAGTTCCCTGCAGATGTTTTCTCTTTTGCTTTTGTAAAAGTCACCAGTGCATGTAGATGGCAGCGCACAAGGAGGGACCTTGTAACCAGTGCACGGGGACAGCCACAGCACTGCAGATCCTGGAAGGGTTTGCTAATCGCCTTTTCCATAGGCACTCCAAGAGTGGTGTGCATGAGCAGAGAGTGGCTCTGGAACACGAGAGCCAACATTGCTCTGAATTCACTGCCCTATGGGACAAATCAAGTAAGTTGCAGGGGCTTGTTTGTTTTTTAGATACTTGCTCTTCAGTTTGCCTTCTAAGTGAAAACTTGTATGTTTGTAATCAGATATGAACAGTCATGTCTGATACGTTTCGGGGCAATTTTATGATTTGTTTCCTAAAGGTATTAATGTGAAAAATGACATACTGCATCAGGCAGGGGAAGATGGGGCTGGTTCTTGGTCTGGTGGCTGGCAGGAGTGTCTATCCCTCATCCCTTTTTTTTTTTTTTTTCAAAGCACCATTGACTTGTTTTGGCAAGCCCACGCCCCAGGTTTTACTGCTGAATTACTTCCTTTATTTTCAAATTAAGTCAGTGAGTTCAGCAGAAATAGAAAACTCCAACTAAAGACTGTAATGTTCAAACTTTGAAATAGGCAGACGTTGCTGCATAGGTTAAACTTATAGGGGTTTTCATCATTCATAGTTGTATTTTAAGGGATATAGACGTCAGAAATGCTCTATATAGTGGTAAATGATACAAAGTTGTGTTTGGTTTTAACTGTTATGTATTAACTTAGTGTGGGAATGCAGACTGTCATTGGCTTTAATTTCTTAATTAGTGAACAGTTTAGAGTATTGTATGGATTAAAAGTCTTCATGGTTTTATTTTGGGTAATAAAAGTGCGAGATTTCAGAAAAATTACAATCTAAATAAACTGACATTTGAAGTTTTAAAAAAAATTTTAAAGGCATGCATTATTTTGCAAAGCAATTCTTGTCTCTGTGGTTAAATACTCATTTTAAAATGTTACAATATGGTAATTTATGATAATTTTGTTCCAAATTTCAGATTCATTGATGGATTTGAGATAGCACAATTATTTCAGCTGAAGATAGGCCGTGTTGGAAATGCTTAGCATCACAGTATTACCATGAAGAAAATCAGTGTTTATACATCTTGCTTGCAATTTAAAATATTTTATGAGTAGGGAGTGAATCTCTTCTCAGAGGCTAAGCAGTAAACATGGAAACAAAAAGGTGTTAATGCATTGACCTAAAATAGATTAAATCTAGGTCTCCCAAATGAGATGGGAAAGGATCGACTCGTTTTGTTGGGAATATAAATGATGAAAGTGCATAAATTCTGAGCTTCTACTTCTCCAAAATATTTTCAGCTTGGTAAAAATAGGCACATACTTGTGTTTATCTAGAAGCTCTTTTTTATGTAAATAGCTATTTGAAAAAATAACACTGAAGCATTTTTTGTTTATATAACGTGAATTAAAAACCGGTATTGACCTACTGACACTTACAAATCCTGACCTGTTTGTGTACAAGGCTCTTACTTTTTTTCCCCTCTGCTTAAGGCAGGCTGCCTCATGTGACATGTTTGATGAGGAAATGGACTGTCGTGTCTCTTGGTGATAAACATGGTGAAAATGGCTGTTCTCTGAATGCTATTTAAAGTCATAATTAAGCAGAGTGATTGCATGCAGTTTTTCTGAGCTGAAGTTGCTGAGCTGGTAGCTGAATGGTGGGTGATTATGTAGCTTTGGTTTTGAGGTGAAATTCTGAGTCTTTATCCTGAAACTTCAATTTGTAGATTGCGTTTAAAAAATAATGTAAATTTCTGTAGGTACACATGATGTAAGTCCACATTTAATGATTCTTGTTTCACTGCCACTGTAGCTGGATTGAAAGAGAGGATAAGGAGCACAGTGAAGGGAGTATTTGTCTACTCCTGATTTCTTATATCTTCAGAAAAATATATTATCTGTGAAAATTCATGAAATATAAAAGAGAAACAAGGTCTTGGTGGACTTCTTTTTGGGTTGGTTCTTTTTTTTTGTTTGGGTGTTGTTTTTGTTTGGGATTTTTTAATACCCAAAAGTTCAATGTCATAGAATTGCCTAGTGTTACTGAATTCAGGTTGTAGAATTTCACAGAAAGTTTCATGAATAAGCAGTGTTTTAGGAATATGCTGATGTTTGTCTTGTAGGGATGTTTGAATATTCTCAAGTATTCTGCACACCTCACTGCAACTTAGAAACATAAGTGTAAAGTTTTAGGTGAAGCTTCATGGCAGACAGCATGAATGACTCTTTGAAGTTCAGGGTAAAAGCACTCTTTAATTCCTGAAAAAGGTTTGGAAAGTGACTTCTCAGAATTTTTGTTGTTTTAGGCTTTGGGTAGAATTCATTTGAAAAGGAAGTTAATATATTTATACCTTCTGCCATAACAAAGCACAACAGAGGTGTGTTTGTTGGGCATGGCCTTTTGCAGTCAGTTTCTGCTGAAGCTCTGGGTTTGCTGAAGGGGAAGGGGCTGCTGCGTGTTGGGTGGACTTTGTGTTGTCAGTTATCTAGTGTTGGGGGTTTGAGTAAATTGCCACGTGGTTATGACCTTAAAAGTTTTTCAGTGGTTGATTTTGAAATTTAACATTTTTGCATCATTATTTTGACACGTAAAGCATGCAGTCTCTCCAACATGCCATGGATCCTTGGTTGATGCATGAAACAAATGTGTTTTGTGAAATCCTCAGAGTCCAGTAGGGCAGAGGTGACTCAGGGCGTTTTCAGAAGCTGACTGAGCACATGTGTGATTGTAAAGCCTGGACTGGTAACCAGGTCAGTTGTGCTGCACAGCCCAAGGGTGAAAGGAACGTGATGGTAGCCATCAGAACAATGCATTTCATTCTTCCTTTAGATGTCTTGACTGTGAGCACTTGCAACTATATGGAACCTACATTTCCATTCTTGTTTTGTTTTCTTAGTTGCTTGTTGCTCGCTGAATGATTGAAATGGGAAATGAAAGGAGAAGGAGCCTGCTTGGTTTTGAGTGTAGGGAGAGTAAGATCAGTGTGGATCTTTGATTCTTGAACTGATGCAATTATTTTCCAAATCTGTGCAGAGAGAAAACATTAACAACTTGGGTAACCGGTCAGGAGAATCACCACTAATGCATGTTCTGTCATCTCCATAGTCTCTAAATGGAAAAGGGATGGGTGGTGAGCAGTCAGAGGAGAAAATGATTTTGTCTCTGATTCAAAATAACGCCAGTATACTTCCGAATCCTGTGGGACGATCTATAGCAATTTAGCGGAATAATTATATATGTGTGTATGTAGAGAAAAAAAGCATGTGAAATATGAAATAATGTACAGAGCACACTGTGTGAATTGCTTAAAGCTTTAGAATAACTACTAGTTGGGTACAAGTCAACAGATAATTCTGGTCTAAGGTTGCCATGGAAACAACCAGTGCTTGATATAATTGAGAACATCTTAAAACCTCCTGGTGTTTGCATGCTTTTTTCCCCTGCCATTTTGAGTTACTTTAGACATGAATAGGTAGCACTGGTCAGAACAGTAGTAGTTAATGAGCAAAACCAAATACCCGTGTCCTGAATATTGATTTCGATTTTCTACTGGTATCTTGTGCTTCGTGGTTTTTTGCATCACAAGGAGCTCATAAGGAAAAGCAGCTCTCTGGATTCTGTGTGCTCTCTCTTTCTAGTTAGTGTATAAGTGTGTTTAGAGATTTAAGCACCGACTTGGTAGAGATTAACATACTTCATCAACTGTTGGATTAATATTAGGAGCAATATGTTTCTGGAAACTATCTCTTCAGCATGAATGGTAAGTCTTTTCTATTACCTTTGACACTATTTTTTTGTTCTGTCTTCAGAGTCAGGAAAAATCTACCAGGCTTTCCTTTCTTGTCTGCATAGCTGCATCGACTGCTGATTTCTTTGTTTTTGTAATCGACTCACTGTGGGCTTTTATTTAAAATTACTAGTTTTAAAAATTTGCATGTTTTTTTATTAAGCAGCTTGCTTTGCATAACTGGTGTTTAGGAGTTTAAATTTTATTTTAAAGCTTTCTTCTGGAAATAACTTACAAATCATTAAGTAAGGCACAGAATCTGATTTGGAAAATTCTGCAATTGAATATATACATGTCGGTTCACTTAATTTTCTGTGCCACTGATAATAAATTATGTCAATTGATACAAATCAGAGAGGCCTTCTGAAATTATTGTAATCATCACCTGAAAATTCTAAACAGGCTATTGTTGTTTTTAATCTGAACCGGCTTACGCTTCTGTGATTTTTAGTCCTCTCAATGCTGGGATAGCAGAATAGTTGAGGTCATTCATGGAAGTAGGGGAAGGGAGTCTCATTTGAAATTAGATACCATAATAGGTCTAGTAAATGCATCAGGCAGGTAATTTCTTTCCAAAACCACTGTGGCTACTTATTATAAGGTACTTTGAATATAATGGAAATATGAAGTAATATATTCTTACTTGGAATATTATTCAAAGTCATTTTAAAATACATAAACTCTGCACGTTTATTTCCTTAGAAAAAGATAGCCTTCGAAAATTATTTGCAAAAAGCCCAAATATGTTAGTTTCCGGAATGATGCCTCTTTGTTTCAACCAGATAGTCTGGAGCTTTGGAAACTGACTTGAGGCAAAGATTTCTTGAAAAGAAAGAGCAGTTAATCTTGTGTATGTGGGGTTTGTGTGTGTCTGTGAGTGGTTTTGCTTTATTCTACAAATTTAAAGGACCATTTTTGCAAAGGTTTCACTTTTGTACATGGCATGAGATAAAGAGTGGGAGGAGTTATCCCACTGCCTTATCTAATATCAGCTTGTCTATACTTATCTCATACAAATGTGTTGAGGTCATCTTCCCCGGAATGAAAAGTGTGGCTGTCGTTTCCTTGGTGTACAAGGTACAAAATACAAATGTCAAAGCTGGTACAGTTATTGAGACAGTGTTTCAGCACTTTGTACATACATGACGGAGATTTGTGGTACAGCGTCATTCATGGCTGTTTTAAGTAAACCTAAATGCAGACTGTCCCTTCCAGTGGTGGCCTGGTCTCTGGTGTGTGCTTCCCACACCCCTGCAGGGTGCTGGCAGGGGGAGGGAGCCCAACAGGAGACCGTGCGAGGTTGATGTGGGCACACATGTCCAAGCCAGCCTGGGCTCGCCCCGAAGGATGTGATGGCATCCCCAGATCCTGCCACCACCTGCCTCTGCCCAGCCTGGGGGAAGTGGGACTGAACCCACAGCCTCCCTGCCCTTCCTCTGTGTCACAGCCAGCATCCTCTGCTGATGGAGGTCTCTCCTTGGGTCAGAAAGTCTCTGCTTTTCACCAGTTCCCAGGCTGGGTTTTCCATCACATTTTCCTCTGTTTCTCCTACAATAAGGTTGTAGCTTTATCAGGAATTAAGGGTGGTGGAAATCAGCTCTATGAATTTTGAATTATTTTGGTTTGGGCTTTTTTTGTATTCTGTTATGATTGAGTCATAAAGACATACATTTCATACAGGCTAGGTGAAAAAGAGGTTACAGCTCAGCTGGATTTTTGTTTGTTTGGGGTGTGTGCTTTTTGGGGCGGTGTTGGTTGTTTTGAGGTTGTGGTTTTTTTCTTTTCCCTAGGGCTTTGTTCTGCAATTTGCATATGTAGATTTCAGTCATCCTTACATCCAGCCTCCCAGTTCCCTTAAAAATAGAAATAAACAGCTGCAACTTTTACCAAGTGTCAGTTCCCAATCAAAAATATTTATAAGTGAGAAGTCTAATTTTGATAAAGGAAAGGTGACTATCTCCTGCTCCATCAAGATTAAATGTTTGCTGTAAACATCTCCCCATTTAAACCACTTACACTTTCCAGTGCACCCTTCTGGCCGTTTTCACTGCAGCAGTGTTACTTTGCACCCTGTCAGTGGATAACATCAGATGCTTTCCTTGTGAAGGAAAGATGGCCAAGATGCAACTGAAACCTTGATGAAAATGTGACATATTTCTTTCAATTGCAAATACAATTGGCTTGATTTTTATTTTTTTATTTCTTTTTTCCCCTCCCCAGAAAAGCCCCAGTTATGGTCAGATTTTTTCTAGGAAGACTCAAAGGAAAAGCTGGTCTTCTATTTCTTTGGACTTGAGTTTTTGGTTTGGACAGCAGAACATTCTTGAGCAGATAAAACTGGAAGGCCAAGTAACTTTAATAGCTCTAGCTCCCAGTTCTGGAAGGTGCTACTCTACTAAATCTTCTGTTTTGCTAAGAATAGGCTTAATACTCCCAAGTACCACCAAGTACATGGCGGGGCTGGTGCTCTCCAATACTGCAGACAGAGGTAACCACTGATAGAGACATTTGCACTCAGAAGAGAGTAGATCCCAGATGTGCATGGAGACAGATGGAGCAGTATGTGAAAGGACTGTGAGCCACACTGAGAGATTGCTGAATTATTGGCCAGTTTTGTGCACAGTAGAGAATAGGAATGTGTAAGGAGTGAAGGGTGAAGGGAGGCAGTGTAAATATCTTAGTTATGTGCACTGGGAATACTTTTAAGAGCAAGGGACAAGAAGTAGCAACTGATTATTCCCAATGCTGAAAGGTTTTAGAAAATGGAAGGATGCCATGGAATATACATCTTCCTGAATGTGTCTCATGGGACTAATGCTTTCTTCTTTTTGAAAATTCCCCCGTGCTACCCGTTAGCCTCTGACAGCCAACTTGGGCAATTTTTTGGGTGGTGACTTGGCTTCACGTTTTGCTCTGATCCTTGTACAAAATATTTGGAAAAGGCAACACAAGAGTTGCTGCATTGACATAGTTCTTAAAATGCATCCATACAGTGAACAGTCCCTCAGGGGGCTTGGTTCAGGGTAGAAGCAAAAAATGAGTTTAATAAAATTGATGTTTCTTCCAAAGGAAAGGGCATTTGGTGTGTTGTAATCTTGCCTCTCTTGAACTCTGACTTAGCCTAGTCCCCATGACATTTCTTACGTATATTTTGTTACCAGAAAGATTTATTTTTTCCCATTGGTTTTTAGTTTGCATCTCAAATTGTTTATATATTTGTTGCTGGTTCCTCTAAGAGTTGCTGCTGGTCCTGCTGTTGCAGGTCAAAGTTCACAAAAGGAGTTTCCCAGCTTTAATTATTGAAGTTCTTATGGGCAGTTTTGTTACTTGCATAACGATTTTGGTGTTTTTCTTTATTCATTCTTAATTGCTGACAGATATCCCAGCCCATTAAGAATTTAATTTTTTTGCAGTTTTTGCAGTTCAATTCTGTGCTAGCTTTATGCCTGTCTTTTAGCCAAGTAACTGCTGACTTTTACCAATTTCTCTCCAAAGTCCCATTCTTTATCAGAATGGATGATAAACACTCTTACCTACTTTTTGCCTGCCTTAATCCTGAGGCAAACAAAGGCTTGTTATTCGCTCAATGTGTTGAATTGTGAAATGTGTTTATTTATGTAAGACTTCCTTATTCAGGAAGTCAGTCCCTGCTATTTAAGGGTATAAATGAACTTCTCCTGCTTGACTAGTTACTGCAGGCAACCCTTTCCTGTAAATATTGAAAGCGTGTTCTGCGGGAGATATGTCAGTGTAGCAATGTGTCAGAAGCTCAGATCTTCTGAAGAGATGAAGAGTTATTTTGCTGATTTACACTGACAGCTGTGAAGATGTACCTTGCTGATCCCAAAGCATGTATATGAAAATTTGAAGAGTTTTGTTAATGCGAGGACTGGGGCAAGGTGGCTTTGTGGGAAGTAGACTTAAGTGTGAGTGCAGACAGCAGATACACCAATCCTGGTGTGTGATTTTGGTTGTATGAAATATTTGAGAAAAGAAAAAGCAACACAAGAGTTGCTCTTCTCAAGTAACTTGTTAAGTGCATCCATGCAGTGAACAGCCCCTGAAGCTGTTTAGTTTGGAATTTAAGGAAGAAATGAGTATGGTGAAACTTCTAAAGGTTACTTCTAAAGGAAGGGGTATCTGTGCATGAGTGTATCTGCTGTTATGAGAGGCATTGCCTGCTTGCAGGGAATTTATTAGTCAATATGCAGATCAGATCAGCTACCTGCAGATTTGTGCTTACTGTTGCTAATATTTTAACCATAAAGCCTACCCTCAGTGATAGCTGCCTGATCATGTTATCCTTTTTAGTCACTGAAGTTTTTACTAAGAGGCAATGTGGGGCAGTAATATGGAGAGGAAAGTTGGTGCTAGCCAGTTAGTCAGGATCTTAACCATGCAGAGGGGAAGAGAGCTGAACTGGAGGGAAACTGCAGCAGATGCTGTAAACATTTTGCTTGGTCAGTAAGTGGTTTTGACTGTAAGGGGAAAATCTGATTAATTTGTATATTTGTATTAACTATTAGATGCAAGATCTTTTATAGTAGTGCCCTAGGAAATGTGGTTCTTGGAATTCATTCTTAAACTGTGTTCTTATTTTTCCCCCCCATATGGTAACCATGGAAATGTATGCACTGCAGAAACAAAAGATGTTTGAATTGTCACTATTTTCTCACAGTTTTCGGTTTTCTTTGTCATATTGTTAATACTTGTTATATTTCACACAGGAAGGTGGTCTTTTACACTGTAGGTCCTGTGGTACTTGGAACATTTTAGATTACTTGCTGGATAAAGTTCAGCAACACCTATAGAGGGTGGTACTGTGCAGATGAAGGTTAATTCCTAACTGCTCACAAAGCACATCAGTGTGTGATAATTGAGGACTTCCCATGTTAAGATGCTTCACCTAGCCTTTTCTATATGAGCTTATTTTATATGTAGGGAGTGTTAAGTAGTGCATGTGAAAGTAATTG